GAAAAATCATCCTTTCCTTTCCAAATAACACAACACATCTAATCTGTGAGATGAGTTTTATTTATCAGTTTATGTTTATACTTAAAAGTATGAATTTAGGCAGAAGATTGGCTAATTTATTTTTTACATTTTTTAACACTGACTTGAAAAAATAATTTATTGCCAGACTATATATAGCGGGGCTCCCATTTGCTACTTTTGCTACATGGCCAATCCGGCACTGTAATAGATCCTAACTCTACCACGCTGGTCCGATGCGAATTTGTGAGTGCTAACGATTATTAATGCAGGAAAATCTAATAAATTCACTTCATATTGAAAATCTTAGATCGAGTACCTACGTTATTCGCTATGGCATTGATCTCATATTTTATTATTAAGTGCTGCTCTCTTAAATTTAAGGAAGGCAACAAAATATAACTATAATGAATATATAATTTTTTTTAATACAAATATAATCTTCTTGGTTGGTTGGCAACCCTACTTAAAGTATAAGGATAATATATACGTATCAATATTTTCAATGTTATAATAAAGTACAAAACATTAGGTATCTAATAATAACAAACACTAAGTTAAGAATATTCATCAATTAAAAAAAGACTGGTTTCTAAAATTTCATATGTTGATTGAAAACTTCAACGTCTAAAATTTTTATGCAACATAAAGTTTAAATACAGATGAATCACATTCGACCTGCGAAGTTTCAGGTCATCTTATTATTGGAGACGTATTATGTTCCGTTGGCCTATCTGAAATCTGTAGAATGATAAACACCATTGTGACTGGTTAATGTCATGTATTTAGGTGAAAAGACATCGTCCTCGTACACGAGTCAGCAAGTGGTGGCGAAAATTATCGTTTGGTCTGTTTTCAGAATAACACAATTTTCCAGCCAAAGATATTTGAAATTTTAGATTTCCATTAATAAATATCATCGACATTAGAATGATCGAGTTTTAAGGGAACTTAATAAAAACAAGGTACACTATAGTGATACCGTAAAAAAGTATGATTCTAATGTAAATGACCATGAAATCTCAAAGCGACATACCAATCAAGCGATGTTAATGAAATTAATAAACGTTTGCGACATGTATAAATCGGCAAATTATATAAAACAACACTGCTACGATACTCAGCTCTCATTTTATATCTTGGAAAATTCTCATTAATGCGTGCCTAAATATAATTTATTTATTTTTTCTCACTATTGTTTGATAGGTCTCAATATGTACAGGCAGTACTTATAAGATTATATTCCCATTAATTTAAAGAGTTACAAGGTTCTGTTTTATAAGAAATCCAGATTTCAAGGGATGTCGATAGCATCACCCCAATTTGATTTGATTATTATAAAACTTAGACAAATAATATTGTACAATGTATTTAACAACATAGTCCAAAAATTAGGAAATCTGACAAACAAATTCCGTATTCCCTTTCCATAGTTATTAATACTAGCGATTTTATCTTTCACAAATGGGGAAAAACAAGTGAAAATAAATCTATTTACGTTACTTCCCCTTTCCACTAAGCTATCTCTTGTCCATCTCAACGAGCCGTCACGATGGCCCTTATCAACGGGCTTGATGAATCGTACAAAGCTTTCCAATGACGTAATTTCACTACCGCCCGATAGATGGCGTTAGTTAAAGTATCAATTTATTAATGTATTCAGATTTTTTTATTGATATTATTTAATTCAATCTAATATAATTTCTGAAATTAACAGTAATTTTCATTATCAAAAATTGTCTTAATTAATGTAATTAACTTAATGTAGATGAAGGCTATATATCTTCCTTATTCCAATGTAAGGTAGGTAAATTACGGTTTGATAAGCTAGATGTCATTTCATATAACTTAAAATATTTCACTTCATCACGCATAATGGAAATTGAAAACATAATAAGTGCCTAGTCTATTATCAAAAATAAATTTAAAAAATAAAATCATTTAAACTTTCGTCGATAATTTCAAAATTAGATAATGTTACTTATCCACGGAGTCTATGCAGTCTTGTTTTTTCACAGCATATTAAAATTGCTAATGTTTAACCTAGAGTCCGTTTGTATAAATTACCTGTCAAGATTGCGAATACTAAAAAAATATTTAAAGAACACGGTAAAACATCGCTTATCGTTGACAATGGCTCTTTTATTTATTTTTTAAATATCATTGAAATTAAAATTTTAATTAATGTTAATCAATGCAATTATTCAGATCGCCCCTTCTTTTGAACTCTCATTCGGTTGAATTTTTATCCATTACTTTTATTAATGAGTAGCTGTTTTTCTGCGACTTCACCCGCGTAAATTATACACTGTAGATATATGTTCTAGCTTCCTGTAGATGAAATAATTTTTCAAATCGGTCAAGTAGTTTTCGAGCATAGTTAATACAAAAAAAAAACAAAAAAATCTTACCTCTTTGTAATATTATTATAGACAAGGCGACAAAACAGTGGATATCACATCAAACTGTTTGCTATTAAGCATAAATTAGTAAAATGTTATTATTAACTAAGAAGAATCTAATCTTAAAACAATGACTGTCGAAATTAATATATGTAGGAAGCACTTTGTTTTTTACAATCTGCTTATTGACAAAGTTTTGCTATCATTATACTGTGTAGGCAGTATGTACACATATGTTTAAACTGCATCTCGTATAAAAAAAGCATCAATACATGGCGCCATTGTTAGTAATGTTATTCGCACCGATCTCTTGCACCTACGCACCTAAATCAATTATCAGTTCAAGCTTGTAATAAATTAAATACGGTTTGCAATCGACGATATCGATCTAAGGTCGTATTGATTAATGGAACGTACTGTCCCGAATATAGAGCGCTCGATGTAAGAGCGGGAAAATGATCTCGGGACGCAAAATGGCCGCCCTCCATGCAGCAATGCGCTCACGCATTTCATTGTTTTAACTGGTTCGAATTTTGAATTCATCATTTTTATAAGTTTGTCATCGTGGCGACGGTTTTATGATACGATTGCAGACTGTTACGATCTCAGAATGAGATAGTCGAGGAGATTTTTGTAATATATGAATAAATTAAATTACTTAGATAGATATCAATTTTGATTTAGAGTCAATCCTATACAATTTAGAAGTATAGTACCTATTCGTTTCAAATGTTTTATTTATAAATATTTGTTGTATATAAGAGTGTCTAAATTTCTTAATGTACTACTATCTGGATATTGACTGAATTAGACAAAAAATAGTATACTGAAATTTTCGTTAATCAAGTAACTAATGCACGATAAATGCACTTATGTCCCAGTTTTTGAACCATATATGAGACGTCCCAGACGTAAGGTATCTTTTGCAATAATGATGTGATTTACAGAGATTTCTCTATTTAAGTACCTAAGTAATTAAAACCCTTAAATGATTGACCTTTATGCTTTCCAAATCTGTAATTTTAAATTCTTATATGAAAATTTTCTTACATTGTGGTTGAGATTGACCCCACAGGTTTGCTTGTGAATTATTAAAATAATTCGATTTTTTTAAACGATAACTCATTAGTTTCTGCATACTTAAATTATAGGTCTACAATTAGTAATTCAATTGACTCATAAAACAGTTATTTTAGTAAAAACGTATTTCAATCTACTTGCCTATTTTTTTATATCAGTTATATTATAACAGCAAACAAACATTGAACGCCTTAATCTATATTCATATCCACAAACCAAATTGCACATAACCTCTAAAATTCATTTTTTTTATGCCCACATCAACTGTTAACAGTTTACTTGGAATATAAGTACTTGGATAACCTGTGACCTGTCGAGGTCTGCATTGGATTAGTGAACCGTAAATCTATAAAGAAATAAATTTATCATATGTAAACTCACTTTTGCATAATTTGATATTTATACTTTATTTCAATTATTTAGCGTAATGTCATAAATTAATGTTTTCTTTCAATAGGTAATACAAAATTATGATATAAGAAATTATAGCGTGTCGTAAAAATACCTAAAAAGAGTTTATTTTTAAGATGAATTTTTAAATATTAATTTGTTTTTAGATAAAATATAGCCTATTGAAAATATAAATTTCAATACACTTATGTAGTCTTACATAAAATTTTAGACACTGAAAAAATTGACAAACTGAGCGATTTAAGCACAGAAAAACTAATAACCCAGCCATCAATAACTAGTGAAATTTTAATTGGACGTTATCTACGTAGGTAATAATTTCTACCTAATAGTAATAATTTCTACAGTAAAAAATTACACCTATTTTTCCACTTACATATGATTGAAAGTATATGTAAATCAAGATATCGACAAGTAAAAGTTTTATATTGTGATCGGATCAACTGTCAGATATTTACAAAAACCAAAATGAGAATACAGAGATTAGAAAATGTACATCTTCTAAAAAAATATCAACCGCGTAACTTGAATCTTTTTATGTTCTAAAATTAAAATTGGTTAAAAGTGAGTAAAATTACGTTCTTTGTAACATCAGAATAAATGTCAGCATTTTCTTATTAAATATAACGGAATCTTATTGGATTTTGCACCTAATGTATTAAAAGTTATTTTTCCAAACAAGCATTTGTGTAAGTAAAATATTTCAGATAAAATGTTTTTATGGACTACAAAATGTAACTATAAAAATTTGGACCGATAGGTGCATAAAATAGATTATTGGATGGTAGGTATATGTTTCGCAGGCAGTTCTGTATTAGTTCCGGCACACATGAAGAGGGTACCTTTATATTTCAGTGAGTTTATCAAATTTCTAACAAAATCAATGAAATATATGTTCATATAAAATTTAAACAAATGAATTCTCGAAGAGAATACAGTTGAAAACGTAAAAATACGAGAAAACTTTACTTTCCGAACTTTGACAGTTGAACCGATTTTCTAACTCCAAATTGGATAATAACCGAAAAACAACAACAAATTACACTTCCTATGAGACTCATACAAGAAAAACATAAAGTAAATATTGACCTGTGAGCATCGCCCGCAGAAGACTGCTAAGCTAGTATCTGCGGCATAGCATAAGCACGCACAGTCACTTTTGCACTTGTCCAGTATCCAAAAAAAAAAACAACAATTAAACTCGAACAGCACTTGAGGTGTCAGTCAGATCACAAGGAACTATGTAGTCACACCATAACACCCACTGAACTGTTAATGAGGAACTTGAATGTTGTGTTGGTGTTGTGTCGTTCGGATTGTTGTTTGCGCGACGCGCGCGACGCTTCGCTGTCAACGATCGCCGGCTAACTGCGCTGCCGGTCGCTGCGGCCCCCCGCCCGTCGCCGCGTACCCCCCGCGCGCCTCACGGGGGCGGGGCCGGCGAGCGAGTCGAGGCGAGGCGAAAGCTTAATTACGCTCAGCGGCCGAAGCGAGACGGAGATAGAGAGTGGGCGCGAACTATTAGCACGCGGAGAGCGGGACGACGCGCGTCTTAAGTATTTTGTATAAGTAATGAGAGAAGCGGGCGCGGGGGGTCGCATCTCCCGCCAATCTTTAATGTTGATTACGCCGCCGCCTATGTGCGCCCCTCATTAACGCTCGGCCACGCCTTGATTTAATTATGCTCTCGCTTAATTGTATGGCGCTATTCGATTGTTTTTGTCCGAATGGCGAGAGCTCGGACCTGTATTTGAAGCTTTCGCTTGTCCGACGATTGTCCCGTCACTATTTTAATTGGCTCTTCACATTTTTATTTGACAGCCAATGTCGAAGTAAAATATCCATTATGTACAAAATCACAAATTTCACGATTGCTGTATGAAACAGCATTGTGGTGACATAATTTTTTTTATAAATGAAAATTATTTTTTAGAGAAAAGGATATAAATTACTTTAATAGTAGGTAATAATAGAAAACTAAGATTAATTATAGGTATGTCAAGTCTAATAGTGATCAAATTCATATTTTCTTATAATATAAGTAACATTCAGTATCAAGTTCATTACTGCTTGAATTTCCTATTTACAGAACAAACGTAATTTTTCAAATTCACTTCTGCCTATTAAAAAATATCCTTATATTGGTTTTAATTGACAGGCTTTGTACCTACTTCTTCGTTGTACTTGGATACCTAATTCTATCACATTATTGAATTAATAAAAAATCGAAATAACCTATGATAATAAACGAATGATTTTTTCAGTACAAACATTTGTTTTATTACGTGTAATAAAAACAGCTAAAGCTCGAAGCTTCTAAAGATTTTTTTTTTTAAACTTATTTATAACAGTTCATGCAATTCGAAGCTATTTCAATAACAACCATGTATATTTTTTTGTTAATAAGTGATGTGTTACTAACCACATTACCAGCATTTACCTTATCGAACGCTTTTATATATCTACCTACATTAGGTATAAGTAGTAACTTAATTTACTTATCTGTTTTAGTTCAACAGAAACTAAAATAATTGCTTTGAAGATTTCTTTGAAGATTTACAATTTATTTTTTTGGGTTTTCAATTAATTTAACTGAGTACCTACATACATCAAAAGAAAATCAATAGGAATTAAGTACTTTTTTTTTCATATACCTAATCTTTTACATTAAAAACTATCTACGGTTAGACTTCAATTTTCTCCAAATAATTTTTAAGTTAAATATTAAATAGTTTTCTTGATGAAAAATCCGCAATCAAATTTCATTTTTAAATTAAACATTCTTTAAAAAGTATTTATTGTAAGAATAATTACCAAATGATTATACAAATGACAAAATAAGAACAAAAATATAATAGGTACTTCAAATTGTAATAACTTTATCAATAATAATATGGAACTAGATACGATAACGTTATTATTTGATGCCAATAGATGGCGTTGTTATAAGGGACAAAATATATTTATTTTCATTGATTCAAATGCTTATATCCCGACCACTTATTTATTTAAGAAGATTTTGTTTCATAAAAAACTAGGCATTATTTAACTCTTTAAAACATTATTTATGATATTTAAGGTTTGGTAAAATAAAGGAAAGTATTAAATAATGATATTTAAACTATTGCATGACATTCGGCGTTAGAAACAAAAGTTAGCTAACAAAAAAATTATTTCACGCGCTTTTAATAAAATTAAAAATATTATAAAGGAAATAATATGAAAGGTAGGATATTTAAGTAACACCTACCGAACATGCCAAATATCTAAATACCTACCAACTGGGTGACATCAGTGGCGGGTTAAGGGCGTGAGGGTGAAGGGGGCGATAAAATTATTTTTCATTAAAAATAAATCTGCTTAGGTATTTGTTTAATAATAATTTTCAATTCAAGAGTTAATTAAACTTGATTGCATTTATAAATTTGATACTAAAGTGGTATCGAGGATCAGTGTATAGCTCAAATAATTTATTAAGTTTCAAAAATGATTTAATCGTTATATTTGATATAATAAATATTGTTTATGAAAAATGCTTATGTCAGTCCCGTTAGGTCCTGGGTAGCCTAGTGGTTAGAGCAGTCGCCCGCATTGGGAAACGCCATGGGTTCGAGTCCTATCTCAGAGTGCCATTTTTCAATAATAATAATTTTAACGACCAATTTCTATAACAGCGTAAGCGAGAACAATTTTTTTATTGTAGGTCATAAGTCTGTTTTTACATTATGAAATTTTTTTTATATAAAAAATATGCTTTCTCAAATTACTGTTACCTATCTATAAGTTATATTCAATTACGAAATGCATTGCATCTGACTGATATATGTACCTATACTAATAATATAAAGAGAATAGGCACGATTGTTTGTATGAATCGAATAGGCTCCAAAACTATCGGATCTTTTACCAACAGAAAGTTATCATACACGCGCGACATTGGGTATGATTTACGTGAGTAAAGTCGCGGTAAAACAGTTTGTATTCAATAACATAAAAATGGACAAAATATATGAAAAATAATATTTATACTTAAATAAATAGTTAATGAGTGCTCAAAATCCAATATCTACCTATCGAATTCGTAACAAAATAATATTACAAGTCGCTAGTGGGAGAAGATAAATAGGTGACATTCATAGAACCTAAATAGGGGTAGAAAAATCTTTAGCTTTTTCAAAACTTCTGTATCATAAAACCAACAAAACCTAACTATTAAGCAATATATAATGGATTACAGTTTTTTTCTATATAGGTACTACACAAGTTTTCCCGCCACTTCGGTTGCGTAAATCATTGCTTATATAATATAGATTCGTAAAGTACACACAATAGCACAATAGATGAATTCTGCTTGGTTTTATTTTAATAAAGTTATCAAAAGTTTCAAATTAACTACGAAATCCTGAAAGTTAAAGTCGAATTAAAAAAAATATCTTGTTAATATTCAACCTTTGAGAGTATTAGGTAAGTACCTTTATGAAACATTTAGCTTTATACCCTCAATGCACTAAGTTAAAAAAAAGGTTAAAAATTTAATAGATCTGTATAAACAGACGTACGTACTGTTTGCTTTTAGCTATTTGTTTCTTCTAACTTTCCTAAATAAATATTTGTGAATTCAATATAAACCGTAACTATCGACATTATATTTTTATATATTTGTTTTATATATAGAAAAAAAAAATGAAATAAAATCATTCTTAGTGTAAAAAAATGATTTATCACTAAGAAGTTTTAATTTAATATTACCATCACTATTATTTACACTAAAATGTCTGAAAGATACTCACATGATGTAATATCTATAGCTCTTGAGTTAGAACGTAAAACCACAATTTTCACAATACATATGTATTATATAACACTACACAGAAACAATACACGTTCTTAATAACACTGGTGCGCAAAAAAAAGTTCGCATACTAAAGTGCGAAGTGGACATAAATAAATAAATGTTTCCCCCAACATTAAAAGCTTGCCACCCACTGCGCAGGAGCACAAAAAACGAACTGTCTCACTACCTGTCCATTCGAATAGGTTATAGGCAATATCTTGCTTTAATAAGAATATGACCGCCATATTAGCATAGAGGAACGCGAAGGAGTCCAGTTTTAGCATAACTGATGGCTAACATATTCTCGCATAGTTAATTGTGAGACGGGTCCTTTAAATGGTGTTAAGTAACTTTAATTTATATTTGGCAACATTAATTCCAAAAAAAATTTTTTTTTATACATTTTTTTTTCAAATGTAGCCTACTTTGTGAACAGTGCCATCTTCGTAGTTGTTTCATAATTACTACGTCGCGAGATGTCGTATAAGTACTAAGAAGAAACCGCATAGAAGTTACTCACGGAGTTTCTCTTCATTTTAATGTGTGATTACCTCAAATAAGGTGATTGGAGGAAAGGAAAGCTATGTAAATGGTCAATAATACTAAAACAATTAAATCTGTATTCTCTGATAATATATTTTATTTAAAATTTGTCACATATCCAGCTGAATGGTACAAATAAATCGTGAGTGGGAATTAGATCATTGTTATAAGCTTGAAATTTATATTAGATAAATACCCTTGTACCTACTATTTTATATTCAAGTTAAAAATTATGGGTAATTAAAAAACTACATAATAATATAGTCATAGTCATACTGCACCTTTGAAGATCTTATCTTCAAAATGTAGTCTTTTACAGACTCTTTACATTCTACGATAAATTGTCAATAAAAGTAGTGCTATTATAAATGCCTCAAAATTTGAAATTTTTTTAATTAAAAAAAAAACAAATAGGAATGAAATAGATATTAAAAAAGGTTGAATACGCAGGTTGTTAATAAACTGTGAAGTGTGTGTTCTTACAGATTTCGTTACGTTTATGGTTTTCGTAAATGTGAAATCTGTACTAATATTATAAATAGGTAGTTTCTAATTTTGTTTATTGGGGGTATCTTCGGAAAAACTAATCCGATTAGCTGTATATCAATAGTCGATTGCTTTATGCTATAGTTTGCGCGTGCAATGTCCTGGCAAACAGCTAGTTACAACTTAAAATAAATTAATTTAAAAAGGTTTTGTTATTTCCATTTTCAATAGAAGTTTTATAAACAAACGAACCGATTGTAATATTTAAAGAAAAGTCTAAAAGTGCGAAAAAGATACATAAAATAATACACACTCATCGAACATCATACTATTTGTACAAATTATCATGACACCAATTTCGTCCATTTTCGAAATACCAATACGACAAACGCAATTTTTCGATAATAATTTATGATACAACCATGGGATACAACGGAGACAGGAGCTAACATTTCCTCAGATACATAGATAGTCTTTAAGAATATGATTTAACAAATTTA